ATCGTAGAAGGCCAAAGGACAAAAGTGATTGTCCGTTCAGTCCACATCTTACAGCGACAAGTCCCCACTGCGATTTTGCACCAGATTCCGAAATTCCGAAGAAAAACGTTCGGAAGCATGGTACTGAAGATGGAGGCAGTACTACCTCAGCATTTCTGAGACTGTCAAACAATAAAATAAGGGGAGTGGGAACTAATCTGGCGGTCTTGAAACAACTACCAAGCGATTCTTTTGGGAGCTACCGAATCACCGCGAACAAGGCCGAGTGTACAATGGAATACAGCGATCTGGACTAGCGGATACAATTTTTGATGCGAAAAAGATGCGATCTTCTGCCAATCAGTGAGAGATCTCAATTATTGAGGTGTTGTTGGTCGGACGAACGGCGTGAAACTGATAATCAGTACAGTGTCATGCTAGTAAATCCGTTCATCCCAGAAACACTTCGCATCATTCCTCAGTCATTTTTCAGAACGGCTTTTCCAGTGCAAATAAACAAAAAAAGTACCTGTCTAGAAGCTCCAGTCAATTTCGAGGTTGCTGTTTCGAAGGATTCCCCGGGAACCGCTGTAAGCTGGCCACGTTGCGCGGCACGTCCAATCTCGATCAGTTCGTTGTCCAGTTCCCGAATTAGATCTTCCGAATGTGTCAGCTGCATCTCGAAATTAAGCTGTTGCGCATTGTTAAGAGCAACCCGTAGCTCGGCCAACTGTGTGGAAAGTTGCTGGCTGGTGGACTGCAGATGACTAGCAACATGCTGCTCCGAGACGGATGGCACTGTTTGTCGAGCTACCTCAACCAGACGAGTTGCCGGTCTCAGTACCTGAAAAAACAAATTGTTGATGCCCAAAATTTACGATATTAGTTTTACAAAACCAAAAACTAGGCTTTTGTCTAGCTCAACGCATCTAAATAAGTTTCAGCCGCTCATGCATAAGATAGTCGTAAACAGATGGTAAAGATAAGGTTGGGCAAAGTAACGTAAAATCACTTTCTACAGCCCACAAATTTTGAGGTTCTTAAGGTCACTAAAGGCCGAAAAATTGAGTTCTAGATATTGCTCTGCCTGCAAATGGGTGCAAAATTATCATTTTACTGCATTGTGAAATAAAAAATCAAAAAGCATAAAGATAATGCTTATCACAATTTTATTTAAAAAAAGTCATTAATACGGAAAAGGGTATCCGACTTCAAACGCTTTTCAGTAACTAACCGCCAGAACCGCAAGGATGGACAGCGTGATAGCGGCCTAACATAGGCTACGCTTAACATAACTTTATGCAAAGCTCTTCCGTCTTATGCTACTGCTTCCATCTATTACCCACCGCATGGCATGTAGACGACCCCTCAGAAGCCATCGATCGAAAATTTCGACCACGAAGACTGAAGAAAAGTTCCAGAAATATACAGAGACGTGAGCGGCGGGAAACTTATCCAGATGTCTCAATACGTTAGGTCTAAGCTAGACAAAAGCAGGAAATTATCATTATTATTATTAATAATATCATACCAAAATATTTTCTCACAAAACTCAACAAAAATAAGCATGAAAAAAGATTATTTGAGAAAAAGAACATTATCCACTACATAGATTACTAGCAAGCACACTATTCAAAACGAAGCAGCTACAACGGAAGTGAAAAACAAACAACTAATGTAAGAAACTACATTCTAATTTATGAGTTTTAAGAGAACTTAGGACATGATATAATTAGTTAAAAACTGCAGGGCCGCTCAAACTATGAGACCGCAAACTTCTGAGCCTATAACTTTCAGCAGTCTCCATTCCACCTCGGACCTTCTGCCTCCCCTCTTTCCCCGTTGTGTATATGCAGCATTTTTTGCAGTCCCTTAAAACAACTGCATTTTTTTTAAGTTGTCTATTTTAGAAATATTCGCCCCTGGATGCAGCACTGTCGGCTTGCTAAAAAAAATTTTTTAAATAATTTTTGTCAATTCATTGACTATTTTGCGTAACTGAGTAGATGATGGTTTGCATCCGCAACTGTACCTAAAGTTAGCGCCAAGGTCAAGTACAAAGCGAATCTAAAGTCTTTAACAGTTATTGAACGCAGCTATGCCAATCCTCCGCCACCTATCCCTGCCAATCTCATTCGTGGTAACAATCGAACTGCACCAACACATTGTCCGCCCAAGCACGTATTAGTCAGTTTAAAATGCACTCCATATTAAATCTCTGTGAGAGACAAAGCATTCGGAAATAGTCTGAGTGGTAGCACGTGCTAAGAAGCACAAGGCTGTCAATGGCGCTATCTTCTGAGTGTGTGTGTAAGCAAGTAACAGCTTCAACTTCCTAACGCGTGCTAGTTCTAATTTACCATCGAAAAGAATGACAGAACTGTATAAGTAGTGGATGACTTCACTGGCAGAAACGAACTCATAAAAATTTTCAGCACCAGATCAGTAAAACCCAGTGACCTTTGATTTACAGTTCAAGA